GTAAATTATTATTATTATTATTATTACTATCATTAATTAAGGTGTTAGTCTCCCAGTGAGTTACAGTTGATGGTTAACCTTAAGGAGACAATAATAAGGAGTAAATAACCGTGAGGAGTCTAAAGAAGAAAGCTTTTGAAAAGCCAAGATATAGAAGGGGAGCCAAAAGTCTACTGGGCACTGGACATTGCACTTATTCATTACATTTAATGTGTGTGCTTAAACCTTAAAGTCTGGAGTTATTATTTTCATTAATAATGTTTATGGATGCATACAGGGGTTCTATAAAATTTATCCCTGTATCAGCACTGACCTATTAAGGCCAGAATGTAGTCATTGGAATCCTGTATAGCAGAAATAATGGACTCAATTAATTCCATTATAGTCCTCTGTAGATTATCTACAGATGTTAAAATTGTTAACGAACTATGTGTTGAAGCTCAGTTGACTCTAAACAGTGGTGGGGTTTGGGTTAGGATTTGGACCAGGGTGAGGGTTGGGTTTAGGTTTTGGGTTGAGGTTAAGGTGAGGGCTAGGATTAGAGCAGGTTTAGAGTTACAGAAAATTATGCTCAATTTAGTACATATCGCTGTTGTTGGAAGAAAACCTTGTATCTCCATTTTTGTCATTTTTCAGTTTTTGACAAAATTTGAAAACGTTATCCTTTGCATTATTTGTAAAGAAATGAGCTAAATTGAACTGGAAAAAAAGTCTGGTTCCATTGACTTACCTTAAAAATAAAGCAAGTTTTTTCCTTCTCCTGTAAAGTTACCATTTTGGAAATATAAGGTTTTCTTCTGACAACAGCGATATGTAGTTGAATGTAAATTGAAAGTAAATTAAGTATCTACAGAGCATCTAAACTGGACTATCCAAATATAGTTTTGACAACAGCTACGGCCATTTCCTTTGTGGTTATGATGAGATGATTATGATTGATGTTATGATTGAGCTTTTTCACTCACAGTGTCATTTGTTTCGGTCTGTGTGGTGGGAGAGACAGAGCCTGCAGAACAAGAGAAGAACGGAAACTCAGTAGGTGAAATCTACATCATTGAAGGAACATTTCTACCAAAGATGATACCATGGCTAAGAATAAATGGACGAAACAGGCTACAAGCTTTTTACAGATTGCTAAACTACTAGTAAACAGTTAGTATAGCCTTAGTAAATAGTAGCACACCATTTGTTAGCAAGCTTAGTAATGCATTATAGTACAATAAGATAAGGTTTTAACATTGCATTCTGTAAATCAGACCAAACATTGCAAGTGTACTCATGTCATGTGTTCTAAACATGTCTGCATGTCCTGCTAATCAGAATTCATAAACAGTCATTTTACATTGATTAATAGACTGCTGTGTTTGAAAAACTGAAAAGACAGAGCATTCAAAAGCAAATCAAATGAGCTAAGAAAGTACTTTTTGAAATAAAGGTTATATAACTTATTTAGAAGAAATGGCCTTAAACCTTCTATATGATCCATGTGATGGTAAAAAGAGGACCTTACAAATGTATAAAATTGATTTACATAGTTTGCAAATGCTAAAATACAATTAAAGGTCTTTGTTAATGAGCTTGCAAGACCACTAAGCTAAAGTGTAACTTAGTAAAACTTAATAACCACGGCCTTACCCTTAGTAAAGGCTTGCAAATAATATTTTCAGGTCATAAACTGGTAAAACATGGACATTAGCTCCCATAGTTTATAGCAAAATTCAACTAAATACTGTAATGTAAGGAAGAATTGTTATTGTAAACTGGACTGTAAGTGTAAAATTATAGTGCATTACAGAGGTATTCACAAGGACAATGTTGTGACACTAATGCAAATGCATTAAAACCAGGGATCTCCAATCCTACTCCTGCTATCTAGCACTATCTAGCACAGCTCACTTGAAATCTCATTAAGATCCTGAAAGATATTACTTTAGAAATATTGCTTTTAAAACGTTAAGGTGAATTGTCAAATATCTGAATCTGTCAAATAGATGCTAATATTTGTCCTGCTGATGTGCTCATCCCTAGTCACCTGGATGTTATTGGTGGTTGCTGTAACTTTTGGTGGATACAAAGAAATAAATGCTAACTTTAGCTGGGAAAGTAATAAATTCCCAAGATTGTTATCCAACATTATGTTCTTCTTCATCTTTTTCTTGGTTCATATTTTTCCTGCTACCCCATAGAAATGAATTGAATGTAAAAGTGCACTCAACTTATGTTGATAAAAGTCCTTTAGTAACACCCTATTAACGATGTGGGGAGCCATAGCAACTACTTAGCAACACCCTAGTAAACACCAAGAAACACCCTAGCAACTACCTGGCAAGACCCTAGCAACCACCAGGGATACCATAGACGCCACCTAGCAACACCCTAACAACTACCAGAGATAAAATAGCAACTGCCCAGCAACACCTTAGTAACCACTTCTGATACCACAGCGATGGCTTTGCAACACCTTAGAAACCACATGGGATACCATAGCAACCGCCTAACAACATCTTAGCAAGCGTGAGCTGCACAATCAGTCTCTTTTCTCTTTTCTTCAGGAAATGTACTTTTCTAGTTCTGTTCAGAAAGTGTCCCAAGACTCCTTTTGAGCACTGTAATTATGACTTGAATGTGTGTGTGTGTGTGTGTGTGTGTGTGTGTGTGTGTGTGTGTGTGACTAGCTTGTTTCTTACTGTGCTTCAATTTGTAGAAGACCAGTGCTGATCCTCCAATCAGCAGGAGGGTCACACAGACACATGCGGTGATGATGACAGAGGAATCTATTTGAGATGGGAGACACAAAGAGAGAAGAACAGACCTCAGACATTACACTTAAAAAGCTAAATCTGCTGTCAGAGTTATGATTACTATTGATTTGTTTAATCTGAGTACTAAACGTGGCTGAAGGATGGCTTATATTCCTTGTATTATATTTCTCATTCATATGTTTTCTTCCCTAAAATGGTCCTTTATGACACAAACTGAATAAAAATCTATGAATTTTCTGCTTTGTTAGATCAACTTCTTTACACATTCACCAAATACAATAACAGTGTTGAGACATCAAATGATTAGCAGAGAAGATCAGATTAAGGGTGCATTCAGACTTGGTAGGTTTGATTCGATTATAACGAATCCTGGTGTGATTGCGCTGCTATGATGCGGATCATTAAGGCAAGTGAGAACACTGCCATCTGAATTCTGATACACCATATAAGCGGACCGAGACCCCCTGAGCAGGTCTGTCTTGGTTCACTTTAGAATGCACTATGGTGCAGTTTGGTTAAAGTACAAATTCAATACAGACCAAATATGTCTAAACGGACCAGACACAGAGTTATTTTTTACTTCATAAAGCACCAAATGTTTTCAATGGGTTACAGGACAGGGCTACAGGCAGGCCAGTTTAGCACCTGGTCTCTTTTACTATGGAACCATGCTGCTGTAAAACATGCAGAATGTGGTTTGACATTGTCTTGCTGAAATAAGCAAGACCTTCCCTGTAAAAGACGTCATCAGGACAGCAGCATATGTTGCTCCAAAACCGATTTACATCATTCAGCATTAATGGTATCTTCACAGATGTGCAAGTCACCCATGCCATGTGCACTAATGCCCCCCGTGCCATCACAGCTTTTGAACTATGTGCTGATAACAAGCTGGATGGTCCCTCGCCCAGAGGGTTTTCCAAAAAGAACTGCACTCTTTAATTTAGTGGATCACAGGACATTTATCCACTTCACCTCCATTAATCTTAATTGAGCTCAGGCCCAGAGAAGGTGGCAGTGTTTCTGGATCCTGTTTATATATGTTTCTCTGCATGGTAGAGTTTTTACGTTCATTTGTGGATGCAGCAACAAACTGTGTTCACAGTTAATGGTTGTCCTGTTGTCAGTTAATGAGGTGTATTTAGAAAAATGGTTTTATAAAAGAAGGCGAAAACACTCTTAAACCTCCAGTATAAGTTGATGTTTGAAGTCCTCTGTATTATCTGTCTTGCAGCGTTTGGAATGTTTACGTTAAAGGCCCCCCCGGTCCAAAGGTCTCTCTCTTAGTTCCACATAGATGAGATCAATTTAAAAAGGGCCATATGTGCAGTTCGCTTTTTCGTAAACAAGTACCTTGTATAAGCAGCTGGTTTATTCTGTTCTAGTGGGGACACTTTAGAATTGGCACGGATCCCCTCTCAGGTACTTTATAGTGCTTGATATGATACTGTTTTAGTTTGTAATAAACATCTTATTCAAGTAATGCAGTGTCAGCGGAGACTTCTTCATCATCTTCACATCATCGCTGCTTAATAAACAACATTAACCTAATTAGTTGTCACATGCCCCACCAGGTGTTTTTAGGATTACATAATGTTATCAATCCTTTTGCTTTCCCTGTCCCAACTTTTTTGAAACCTGTTGCTGGCAATAAATTTAAAATGGGCAGATATCTGCCAGGTTAAACTATCAGTTTAATAGTAACCTAAAAACTTAAAAATAAACAAAAGAAAATGTTACTGGATAATGTGTTTTTAGGATTAATAATGAAATAACAGGCCTGCCAAATTCTCATAATGGATTGCTGTAAATATGATTTGAGAGGGTTAATAGGCCCTGGCACTTTAGGGGTTTCCATGATTGCCTTTGCTGTTTAAGGCGTTTGATGTACAAAAGATTTTCATGAGTAATATAGTCAGGCACACAAAATAAACAGTCCAAACAATTATAATAGTGCTAAAATAATACTAAATTACATTACTGATATATGCAACACACACAAACACAAAAAGACTTAATTTTGCATTGAGACTTAAACAGAGTAGATCAAATTGCCTGAATTTTAACATCTTACTGTAGTGAAATGTGCATTCTGGCTTCTGTGTCACGGTTTTGTCTTGAGTTTGATCACGGAAATGGTGTTCCTCGTCTTCAGGGGTGTTAAAAAAAAAACAAAAACATTTTCAGCCAAGGTAGCTATGCACACACACACATACACACACACACACAGTTGCTTACCAGACTGATCTGTTACTGATAGGCTTCTTGGCTTCTCTGTTACAGTTTTCCCTTGTTTTTGATTATGGTGACGATGGTTCGTTCATCAATGTTCACATATCAATGAAAAATGCAGACACAGAAAACACAAAAACCATATTAATGACCACAATCAGCTGTTACAAAGTAACACTGCATATCAGTGTATAATTATACTGTTCTCTCTCACTTCTGCTTTCACTTCCATAATCCCTTCTCTAATCTTTCCATTACTGATGAAGAATCTCTCCATTATTCTTTATTTCTTCCTATATGTTTTAACATTAATCAAACTAACAGACAATTAAATGTCTGACTGTGATCATATAAATGGGCCAGACAAATTAAACAGTGCCCCGAGTGCAACAGCAAATCTGAACTCAGATTCTGTGGTATCTAATAAACTGTGTGGGTTTTAGCTAATGTAAAGGGACATCTCTGAAACAAACCATCCATTTCAACACTCATTTTACCGAGCCCTTTTCCACTTGGCCTCACAATATCACCTCAGGGGAATCCCTGATGCCATCTTAAGGGCAGTTCCATATGTGTATTAGCTCAAGTGAAGTTTGTAAGCGTAGCCTGACAGAACACAAGTGTCGACAGCAGCAGCCTAACGCAATTCTCTTTTTAAAACTAAAAAAGGCAGCCAGAGCTGTTTAAAAGCCACAGCAGTAAAAGCGAGAGGCCATGATTTCTGCTAGGATAAGTGCTCTTTATTGACACCAGCAGAAAAGGCACATTCCACTCTATTCCATTCTTACTAAACCCACACCCCAACACAAAATAACACAGTAAACACATATAAAACATAGACAACACAAAACAACAACATTTACATCTCTTTGGTGGAGGGGGGTGGGGTGTGTGGTGCAGCTCTGCACACCATGCCCCTAGAGCCCCCTCTGCCAACCAGAGCAAGTGGCAGCTGCCACAATATTATAAGAACTGAAAAAATCCCGTGCTGGCCTTTGGGCTAGAAACTACTCTGTTTTACTTGGTTTAAAAGCTGAAACAACTGCATTGCGTTCTTTTGCTAGTTTGCTAGTTAGCCTAAAGGCTACACAGCTAGCATCAACAAGAGGAAAGGCAATGCACTTTAGCATTAAACCAGCGCTTATCCAGACAAAGCAGGTATTTACATCATCAGTGTATATTATTTATCAACTTAAGGTTAAGTAAAAAAAACAAACAAAAAAAAACCTTGAAATTTAAACAAAGCTTTTGCATCACAAGTTTCATGGCTAGCTGTTTAGCTAACTGAGGCTAAGCTTGGCAAAGGTGAGTGCATTCTGACAGAGTCAAAGTCAATGAGGGCATGTTATAAACAGTTTCAAATTGAGAGCAGAGCTTCGCCAAAGTCTGATGCAATTCTAAAGCTCCATACTGATGCTAGACTCCAAATATGAAAATACAAAGCAACAATTACTGACTGTTACACACACACACGTATATATATATATATATATATATATATATATATATATATGTGTGTACCAGTCAGTCATTGTTGCTTATCTCTCTCTCTCTCTCTCTCTCTCTATATATATATATATATATATATATATATATATATATACACACACACACACACACTCGGATAGCTGCTGCTCCAACACTGTTCCATATCCTAAACTCCTTTCTGAGTTGAAGACCTCACTAGAAAACACTCTAAAAGTGATTTAGAGCTATTGGTTTATTTATTATAAGAATCACATTTGATGCAATGACAAGAAATTATTGAAACAATATCATATCTTACCTAAAACCTTTAGCTGGATTTCTGTGTGGAGGGAGTAATAACTGACTGATTCTCCTCCAGTCCACACTGCACAGTAATAAACTCCTCCATCATCTTCACTCACATCACTGATTCTCACACTGACAACTTTAGAGCTTCTGTTATCAGAGATGGAGAATCTGTCTCTGTGAGTCTCTGTGATATAGATCACTTTAGTGAAATAATGACTGTCCCATTTGTATAAGAACTTCATCTTTGTTTCAAACTGCTCTGGGTAGGGACAGTGGACGGTGACGGTCCCACCCACAATAGCTGTTGTAGTCTTTGGCTTCATACAACATGGATCTGCCAACCACACAGTGTTAATTAGTATATCTAGATTTGTGTCTGGATGAAAGAACACAACATATTGTGTCGAGACGCTTCAGGTAGTGTTTTTAATTTAGCAATAAATTCTAAAGCTATCAGACAAGTAAAAAGTGAATTAACATGCATAGTACAGTCGTTTTGCAAAAGTTTTGGATGCTCCTGTTCAAATGTGATTTGATTTTCTATATAAAAAACACATTAAGCATATTTAATACACAGATACTGTTTATTTGGTGAACTTAATATATGTTGTGTGTGAGGGGTGGGTGGTGGGACATAAAATGTGACCTGTGCAAAAGTTATAGCATATTTTATATTTTATGTTTCATTTTTTCTCAATGTTTTATGTTCAGTGTTTTATGTTTAACATCAATGTTTTATATATACTCAGTGATTTACCTCTAATTACTCTCAGGTTGATATCATGACTCCACTTTCCAGTCTCTCCACATCGATATGTTCCAGCATCCTGTAAACTCAGTTGTCTAAAGATGGCCGAAAAAGCGTCCAGACGAATCATGCAAAGCAAGCTTGCCTGTATGAATCCATCTATTCTGTTCAAAAATTTCATGAGGTTTTGCATTTTCACACTGATTTTGCGTTATCTTGCAAAAATATTTCGCATACACTTTTGGTGTGCAGTGGATCATGACACTGCCTCCTTGGTAGCCAATCACATCAAAGCAACCCACTGGACCTACAAATCAAATGAAGATTTTAATTCATCTCATCTCATGAATTGCTTCCAAATTGTCATTTCTACAGTGCTGCATTACAATCAACAAAGAATTTAAGACTCTTAAGCTCTTCAGACAAAGTGTAAAACCTGAATCATACTGTGACACATAAGTGGAAGATGCATGCACATACCAAGGTGAGTTTATTGGGGCTTTACTAGGCCTAATTCATGAGTAAATGGAGATTATTTTCTTAGTATTTGTGTTTGCAACTTGTTCCTATCTTTTGAAGGTTATCTTTCACTCTCTCTACCAAAGCACTGCTTAACATCGTCCCTAACTCTGACTTGAGGTTGCTTTTAACCACTAATAGATTCAATCTCAGTTTCAGTCAGTATACATTCCATGTAATTATAATACTTTCCTCTTTGTATAAAATACTTTTAACTGTTACACATTAACCATGTATGCAACAACTATGTAACTACTAGTGATGCATTTGCTGTTACAGATGGATTGCAGTAGTACAGTTCATGTAAATATGCCTTTGTATGAACTTCAGTGACATAATTACAAGTGTATCTTCATATCATCTAGCTGTAACAACACATTTCCTCTTATGTAATTACAAATGTGTAATAGGGTGAAGCCCTTTTCCAACAAGACTTTTTCCAACATTTCCTGCTAGCTGCAGTATTAAGCTTGTATTGAGACATGGTAACCAAACTAAAGTGTTGGCTTTAAAACAGTTTGTAATGTGATAGTATTTACAGTAACAGCACATATCAAAAAAAAAAAATCATGTTTATATAACCAACAAAAACATGTGTTGTATTATCACAAAAGCAACTTCTGGATTACCAATCTGTAATTTTACTCTAGCTACATAACAACTATGAAGGAATTGTTTGTGTTGTTGCATGGCAACTAGACCAAAATTTGCATATACATGGATATACATGGGTTATTTCAATATCACAGAACCACGGAACCTAAAGATAAATCTTTTAAAGGTAAATGAGCATCTGCTATTTCTGTGTAAATACGGTCGCATTACAGAATGGTTTAATTCAGATCATAATTTAATTACCCTATCACACATGTGTAATTACACAAGAGACAAAATGTAGTTACAGCTATTAACTTCAATAATCCATCTGTAACAGTGAATACAGTGCTCTGTCTAAGTATTTGGCCCCTCCCCATTTTCATCTGTTTTTGCATATTTGTCACACTGGAATGTTTCAGATCATCTCAGGGTTAAAGAGGAGCATTGTGGGTGAGAAGTTGGTCTGATGCAATCAGCCTTTCATAAAAAAAGATTTTTCACATATTTCTTTGCTTTTATGAATTCCTGCCTCCTGCCTTGTGTATCAGTATTTTTTGTATTCTTACACTCTTTTAAGAGTGGCCTTTAGACATCTTCCTCTACTTTACTTGAACGGTGCCATAACCATATCATGAACATATCATGGTAGCTTATGTTACATGCAAAATCTCTAGATAACTGTACTATAGTAAGCCATTGTGACATTAAGCACTGCCATTTTGCCAAATCCTTGGAGTTTGCAGTATGTTATGACGCTACCTCCTGAACAGCCAATCACAGCAAAGCAGAACACTGGACCTGCTAATCAAACTGAAGGTTCTTGCTCAACTTTCTGATGAATTTCTCCAATTTTTCTCATTTCTACAGTTCTAAACCACCTATAATGTGAGCACATGAGATTCCAAACTGCTTCTGATAAAATATGAACCTTATACAATCTACAAGAACCTGCAAGCTAAACGCAAAAAGTACTGTTGCAGTAATGAGAACTAGAACATCTCACCTGAGATCAAGTAGAGAGTAAAGATGAGGAGGGTCTTCATCCTGATCTGAAGGTCAGCCTCTGTGATGTGCACATAAACTTTAATTCAGTAAATACTCTTGTCTTTGTGGCACTGACTGTCATTTCCTCTTTCTGTGGAAGGTCTGAGATGTGTTTAACCTTACAGCTCCTCCCATTAGCATCAGTGACCAAAGGCCCCTGTGCAAAGGAAGAGGTGAACGATGACATCAGTGTGATAAACGTCAGTATACCCAATGCATTAAAGACCATCAGACAATTTAGATCACCAAGATGTACGAAAACCTCCCACAGCATTAAACATGCCCATAAAACAATCATCCTATTTCTGTAAGAGAGTGATTACATTTATTTACAAGATATATGGTCATTATTTTCTACAGCAGATCTCTAGTAGTAACTCCCGCACCCTCCCCCACCCTCCACAAACCTCTGACTCTTCGCCTTTTGTCTCGCCTTTGTTTTTAGCTGCACTGGCCTACAGACATTTTTAACTCTGTGTGTTTTTTTCAGTGAACTAGCCTCACTTCCTTTGGGTGTCAGCATCTGTAGTATTCACACTCTATTTGTGCTCATAGTTTGTAACAAGTGAAAGGTGGTAAATGGTGAGAAGTTACCATTTGTCTCATTAATTTAAAGTCATTTGACATAAGATTTAAGAAACATATTAAATATTGTCTCCAACCAACTACCACAGAGCAAAGAAGCTATCGGTTCTGCTTAGTTTTGGCAAAAAATAATCATGAAAGAGAGGGAGAGCAGAATAAAAATCAATTAAGGTGGTACATTAGACTGCACTTTGTGGGGTGGTTTTTAATTATGATCTCATGAATGTATGAGAGACTAAATGAGCAGTCAAGCATGTCGTTACACAGCATTGTTTAATATAGAAACTTTGCAAAACTCTTTAAAAGTAGCTTTTTGTTTTTATGTTAACCTCACTAGGATAATGCATATTTCCTAGTAATTTACATTAGTATTTCACTAACTGTGCTGGATTTTGGCATTTTGGCTTACACTACATGGCCAAAAGTATGTGAACACCAGCAAACCTATATGAGCTTGTTGGACATCCTCTTTCAAACCCCTCTATTGCGGCTATGCCAGCTGCCACAAATCTTTCCACAAGATTTCGGGGTGTGTCTATGGGAATTTGCGCCCATTCAGTCAAAAGACCATTTGTGAGGTCAAGCACTGATGTTGGACGAGACGGTCTGGCTCTCTATCAACATTCCAGTTTATCCACAAGGTATTCAGTGGGGTTGAGGTCAGGGCTCTGTGCAGGCCACTGGAGTTCCTCCACACCAAACTCACCAATTCATGTCTTTATGGATTGCTTTGTGCACTGGGGCTCAGTCATGCTGGAACAGGAAAGGGTCTTCCACAAACTGCTGACACAAAACTGGAAGTATATAATTGTCTAAAATATTCTTGTGTGCTGTAGCATCAACATCACCCTTCACTGGAACTAAAGGGCCCAAACCCTGAAAAACAGCCCCAAATCATTATTCCTCCTCCACCAAACTTTACTGTTGGCACTATGGACAAACCCAGATTCATCCATCAGACTGCTAGATACTGACGCATGATTCATCACTCCAGTGAACATGTTTCCACTGTTGCAGAGCCCAGTACACCACTCCAGCCACCAGGTAGCATTGCATATAGTGATCTTAGGCTTGTGTGCAGCTACCCAGCCATGGAAACCCGTTTAACGAAGCTCCTGACACACGGTTCATGTGCTAATGTTGATTCCAGAGGCAGTTTGGAACTGGTAGTGAGGAATAAAATACAGGATAGGCCATTTTTACCTGCTACAGTAGTGTGGTTCACCACTTTGTGACATGCTGTTATAGCTCCTAGATGCTTCCATTTCACGCTAACAGCACTTACATATAACCGAGGGAAATCTATCTATGTATGGATGAACAAATGAATGGGTTACAGACAACTACAGACAGGTGGTCTAGCTTGCAAGGTTTTAGTTATGCTGTGTTAGCTTTAGCTCGCTAAGTTTCTCTGACTCTGAAACAGTTTTGTGTCAGCAGGGCCAGAGATGTCAGCCTTGTGATCGGTCAGGGGAATGCTTATGGAAGCATTACCCAAGATTAGGACCACCCAGTTTACATCGAGAGGAGTGAAATATGGTGAAATGTGTCATTTATCGTTCATTGGAACATTATTCAGATTACTTGGTAAATGTTTATGGTTTGCCTGCAAGAACAAGATTAATCTAATTTTTAAAAAAACACAGATTTAGGTTCCCTGCATCTTTAAATTAAGTAAGTTTAATTAAATACTTACACAATAACTTACACAGATAACTTGACAAAAATACACTCATAATGTAAAAAAGGTAACAGTATACAATTTACACTTCTTATTTATTATTTGATTCACTTCTTGTTTACATAATTCTTGAAATAGTGAATACATATCTACAAATACATTTTGGTGAATAGTTTGTAATATTTAACCCCATAAACTCTCAGGCTTATTGCATACTATGGCTTAGTAACTACAAGGACTTCAATACAAACATGTTGAACTGTTCTTAGGTTATAGAAGTGTATAATAAAACTTTGGGCTCTCCGGTGGGCCCTGGGCTTTTATATTTACAGGTAAAAAAATTCCACACATTTAAACAGTTGTTTACATTAACATGTTGAAGATAAAGCACAATGCTCATCATCGTTTAGTCAATCAATCTATAAATCATTAAAAATAGATGTTACAAAAGGTCCTGGATATAAGAATAAGTATAAAAATGAAAAAACAAAGCTGAACATGCACTGATATGAACAAAATAGCAGGAACAGTAAATAGTACAATAAAAAAAAGGAAATCAGTACATTTCTTTGGTTTAGGAGAAAGGGTGAACATCAGAAGGAGTGAAGGGACAACAAACTAGTCATAGACATTTGACAACTAACTTTAGCCATTTGATTCTAGGTGCAGACATTCGTAGAGCAGTAGTGAGTTTTACTGATCGGGACTTGGAATAAGCTTCTGACTGAATTTGACTTGTTGTTTTAAGGTGCTTTTGTTTACTGAATGTTGGCGTTGGGTTCAGTCTACAGTGAACACAATGTGATTGCTTTATATTGACGCTTAGACTCTGGTAAACTGAATGTGATTGTTGATGCTGGGTTTCAAAATCTGATAGACTGAATCTGATTGGTTGGTGGTGGGGCTTAGAGTCTGGTAGACCGAATCTGATTGGTTGATATTGGTTTTCAAAATTTAATAGACTAAATCTGATTGGTTGGTGTTGGGTTTTAGGCTCAGTTAGACTGAATTTGATTGATTGGTGTTGGGGTTTAGACTCTGATAGGCTGAATGTGATAGGTTGGTGTTGGGATTTAGACTCTGGTAGGCTGAATCTGATTGATTGATGTTGGGGTTTGGACTCTGGTAAGCTGAATGTGATTGGTTGATATTGGGGCATTAATTCCAGGACATTGGACTCCGGCTGATGATGTTCTGGTTTCTAGGAGGATCATTTTCATAATCACTGTTAGCCTAAAATTAGAGGAATAACAATAGCACTGATAAACAGATCATAGGGGGTTATTCCAGACTTTAAATGTCACATTTGGCATTTATTTGTTTATTTTTATATTAAGTCCTAATCCTATTAAAATGTAGAATGTGGTAAAAAAATAGATAGATAAAGAACTTATTTTCATGTGCTTCTCTTTCATGATTACTCACTGTGTTATTTGTGGAGATTATCATATTAGGAGAACCTGTTGAAAAAGAGAGAAATTAGTATAAAATTAATCTCCAGTTAATAAATGAATGTAAGGCATTTTCTGAGCCTGTGTCAACTAGAGTTAACATAAAATTACCTTTCAGTAAGCTGGGGATATTCTTGCTGCATCTTTTCAAGACCTGTGAGATACACTACTTGGACAAAAGTATGGGGAAACCTATACGTTACACAAACAGGAGCTTTTATGAATCCCATTCTAAATCCATAGGCATTAATATGGAGTTGGTTCCCCTTTGCAGCTATAACAGCTTCCACTCTTCTGGGAAGCTTCCTACAAGATTTTGGAGAGTGTCTGTAGGAATTTTTGTCCATTCATCCAGAAGAGCATTTGTGAGATCAGACACCAACCAACAATCTCCATTCTAGTTCATCCCAAAGGTGTTCAGTGGGGTTGAGGTCAGGGCTCTGTGTAGACAACTGGAGTTTATGCACACCAAATTCGTCAAACTGTGTCTTCATGGACCTTGCTTCGTGCCCAGTGGCACAGTGATGCTGGAACAGGAAAGTCTTTTCCCCAAACTGTTGCCACAAAGTTGGGAAAATATAATGGTCTAAAATATATTTGTGTGCTGTAGCCTTAACATCACACTTCACTGAAATTAAGGGGCCCAAACCCTGAAAAACAGCCACAGACCATTATCCTTCCTTGTGAGGTCAGATACTGATGTTGGACAAAAGGCCTGGCTTGCAATCTCCATTCTAGTTCATCCTAAAGGTGTTTAATGTGGTTGAGGTCAGGACTCTGTGAGGGCCAGTCAAGTTCTTCCACACCAAAATCACCCAGTCATGACTTTATGGAGCTTGCTTTGTGCACTGGTGCTCAGTAATGCTATAACAGAAAAGGTTCTTCCCCAAACTGTTCCCACAAAGTTAGAACCATGCAATTGTCCAAAATGTCTGCTGAAGCATTAGGATTTCCCTTCACTAGAACTAAAGGGCCTAGACCAACCCCTGAAATACAAACATTCTCCTGTCATTCACCAAACCAAGACTTGTCCATCAGACTGACAGATAGAGAAGCTGATTCGTGACTCCACAGAACATGCTTTACACCACTCACCCCCCACTTGATTTTGTCCACCTGTTAGCAATGAGTGTGGCTGAAACACTTGAACTCAATAATTAGGAGGGGTGTCCCAATACTTTTGTCTATTTAGTGTGCATATTTTTATTTTCTAGTATGTGACAATTAAATTGTGCCGTAATGCTTATTATAATATGTAAGGATTAGTTGAAAAATGATGGTCCCACTTTGTATTATTACATTGCAACAACAATGTAACTACTGGTGATGTATTCATTGTTATGGATGGTATTTACTGAAGCAACACATATCCTTAAAAATAACTTCATCCATTAAAGTATGTGTTATATGAGACTACCCCATGGTAAACTGTTGCACTGTCAAATAAGTAAACACCATTCTGTAATTTCACAGCACCTATATTAAGACAATTATTTCAAAGATAAATTGGCATCTGCAGTTGTTGTGTAAATACTGTGACATCATGTTACCATGAAACAACACAAGCGTACTGCTACTGCTTTAAGAAAGTTGCCATTTCCTGTGCAGATGTAGCGCAAGTACTCCATACATTTTGTTTGATAATCAGTAGAGAAAAAGCACCTGTGTGGTTAAATGAGTAAATAAGTTCATGCATGTTTATTTACAAAAGCTGTACTTCTGTCATCATTTCTGACTGTAAACACATCACCAGTAGTTACATAGTTATTGCATGTATTAATGTGTAACCACACAGTTATCAGAGATACAATATGAAGTGGGACCAAAAGGCTTGAAAATTGCAACCATGTCTCTAGAAAAAACAGAAAATGAAGGATTACTGTAAATTCTCCATTATTAAACTCAGAGCTCATTGAGGGTCTGTGACACTGTCAGAAATCTGGATTAGGCCTTTTTTTTCAAGTCAAGTCAGGTTTATTGTCAATACTACAATATGTACAGGACTTACAGAGTATTGAAATTGCGTTACTAACAGACCCCCATGGTGTAGCAATAACATTAAATAGACATAAACAGGAAATGTTTGAATTAAATAGACACTAAATAAACACTAAACACTAATCGTAAAAATAAACATTAATTGTAGAAAAATAGAATAATGAAAAAACATATAAATATAAGAAGTTCCCTGAATTTAACAATACAGTGACATAAATGACATAAGGCACATACAGATTAAGGTCTGTGGGTATAATAGTGCAATTATAAACAGTAGTGCAATTAGAATGAGCTTATGGAGCAGTTAAAGTGAGTTAAAGTGAGTTTAATCTACACACTCAACACACACCCAACTACACTGACTCAACAAGTGTATCAGTTGCACCAGTTTGTGTGTGTGTGATTAATACCTTCTGCCCTGTTGCGTCTCAGTTTGTAGATCAGTAATAATCCTCCAATCAGCAGCAAGGCCACACAGACACACACAGTGATGATGACAGAGGACCCTGTAGATGTTCTTAAACCTAAAAAGGTATCATCACATCATCACTTTCATTTATATAGCATCTTTCCTGTCATCAACGATGATTTACAATCAGAAAGTAACAAAATACATAATCAACAATAAAAAAACTCCACAGCTAGCAGGGGAGATTCCACTGACCAGAGATATTTGGAGTGAATTAACTAGCCCAGAAGGGAAAAGTCTCACTACGCAACTATGGTGCATCACTCAAGTGGCCAGCCAAAAAAGGCTGAAATGTTCTTAGCCACAAAGGGGTAGCATTTCCTGCAGCTGAACACTACCGGTCCAGGCAGCCCCACATCTGCAGTGCAGCGTCATCCAAGCAGCCAGCCCAGGCTGCCACGCAGCCGTGATATAGCATCATTTAAATTCCTGGTCCAGAGAGTCTCGTAGCCTCAATACAGTGTCACTCAAGCAGGCAGTCCAGGCTTCATCAAAGCTGTGATGTAGCATTACCCAAACAGCCTGCCCAAAAAGCCTCTGAGCCTCAGTTGGAAAATCATTCTCAGCCGCTATCTCAGTGGGTGTGATGGCAAACTTTCCAGCCAGCAGGGAAACATTACAACATATGCACAAACAATTCAAAACAAACGAAAAACCATGCAAAGCGGCAGCCATACTGCACCAGCGTACTTACAATACAGCACAAATGCACATACGCACCAGCCAACAGTGATGAAAACTTGAAGCATTAAAAGAATTGAAAGAATGGATTTAACTGCTATACTTGCATTTGTTCATTTCATACCACACTCATCTTTTAGCAGCTCATTACACTGAGTTTACTAATTACTAATAACTCTTAACTGTACCTACACACATTGGTAAATGTATTGGAAATGGAAAAAGATGAGCTGTAGTTTGTAACCTTACATCTACAAGGTGTACCAATAAGGTAAGTCTAATAAAGTGGCCGCGTATTATTGTGAAAGGAGTTCTTTTCTCTGTTCCATAATTTAGAATACCAGTGAACACATGTAAACCCTGAAATAACATGTATAATTACACAGAAATAATGGCTTTCTGCCATTTATGGAGATTTAGCTTGAAAATCTCAAGAGGGGCTAAAAATTTCAATAACTGATTATAATTTTATACTTTTAGATTTTACACCTCAATAGTTTTAGTTCAATGCTTTAAACAATGCTTTACTGGCTGATATGATTGTCAGTAATCACACTTCTTCAAATCTGATAAACAGAAGATGTTTGTAGTCTTATATAAGTTATGCAGTGTAGGGAGTTCACCTTCTTTGCGATTTGGTTTCTGTTAAGTTTTTCTTAGCTTTCATATTTTACAGAAGTTCTCTTTATAAAAATCAAAACAAAACAAAAAAACAACTAATATGCAAAATCTCACCTGCAACATGAAGCTGTATTTCATTGAAGAGGGAGTAGTAAGGGTTCAGATCTCCATCCTTTTGTCCCTGAACTCCACACAGGTAAACTCCTCCATCCTCTTCAGTCACGTCACTGATGCTCACGTTGAAGAGGTTTTCTTGTGGATGGTCAAAAAGAGAAAACCTCCCATTTTGTGCTGATAGTCCAAGAGCAAATATGACCACATGATAGCTGTGATCATTCACTTTGTACAAGTACTTGGAGAGATATTTAGACTCCTGTGGATATTTACAGGTAAAGGTAACAGTCTCTCTTGGATCAGTTTCCTGTGTGAGCGTCTTTCCACAACAAGGATCTAAAAATAAAAACAAATGATCCAGTTAGTGTTACGAGGCACTTTGCGCTATTTTACTCTACTCCAATGTGTTTCTTCAATATAAATTAAATATTTATATGTATTTAATATTTATTATAATATTAAACTTTTTCACTAAAAGGTCTGTCTGTTTGGACTGAGAGTCTGATTAGTGAATGAAAACAGCTGTAAGGACTGAACACTTTGGGTGAATGCACAGATACATGAGGTCAGTTAGGTTGAGCAGAACAAGAGGAGCAGCTATGAGGAACTTGTTGTGGTTCAGCTAGAAGTAGTGCCCACTCTAGGCCAGACCCAGATTTTTACATTTGGAAATAACATAAGGTCCTTCAAGCATGTTTCTTGCTGCCCACAAAGGGTGATCTCATTTGTATTCATATGTTTCTTTTGTTTTCTTATTGTTCTTGTCAATGCACTATAATCCTCTTAAGGCGTGGCTCCCGAAGCTTATAGAGGGCAAGCCCGGACCATGAGGAGGCAAGGGCAGGACCAGCAGTGTTGGCTGGCTCAGTCGGGCACTGGGACACTGGCTCTGAAGGATCCAGCCTAAAAGCCAGCACTGGAGCAGCTTCGGAAGCTGGCACCGAAATATGATGAGGAGCTGGCACAGGCACTGTACAGGGAATCAGGAAGAGCAGCAGCTTGGGAAGCTGGCACTGTATCACACATATGGCACAGGAGCTACAGGCCAAAAAGCTGGCACAGGAACAAGACAGGGAGCAGCTTGGGAAGCCGGCACTGACATGACAGGTGTCGGTACAGGAGCAGCATAGGAGACCATCACCACCACAGGAGGAGCAGCAGCTCTGGAAGCTGGCACCGGATCAGCACAAGGAGCTGGCACAACAGCCGCACATGGAAACAGAACTGAAGGAGGAGCAGCTTGGGAAGCTGGCACTGGATAAGCCTGGAAAGCCAGCATAGGAGCTGCACAGGGAACCAGCACTGGAAGAAGATCAACTCGGGAAGCTAGCACCTGATCAGCATGAAGAGCCATCATAGGAGCCACTTGGAGAACTAGAACTGGAACAGCTTGGAGGACTAGAACAGAAGCCTTGCAAGGAGCCTGCACTGTAGCCCTGTGTGGAACCATACAGGGTGCAGGAACAGGAGCCGACCAAGTTATAAACCAATTTGCTACAGCACCACTCTGAGGCAGATTATTTCTACTCAGTGAAGAACACCAGCAGCAGCTTAACAGTGACAGCATAGTGTTATAAGTTTATTCTCAGGGAACCCGAGAATTTGGATTTTGAGATATTCAGGGGGTCCAAGAGGTTAATTAGCAGGTGCCAGACCTCCCCATGACCCCTAATTAGGTAAAATCTCCTCACCTTGTTTCACTTTCAATGTCACATCTGTAAGCTGGGCTGCTTTGTCTTGTACTCCACACCTATAGATCCCACCATCCTGCTGACTTACATTTTTATTGAGCACACTAAACATTCCAGGCTGAGTTTCATCCAATAAGAAGAATCTTCCATTATGAGTTTCTGGATTCTGTGTCTTTGAAAGAATCTGGTCAGTGCATTCTTTTCTTTGGTTTAACTTGCAGAAGTACTTTGTGTGATTCATGTATCTTGTGTGATCATATCTGCAGTTGATAAGGACACTTCCTCCTGTGTACCCAGTCACATCAACACAGTCCACTTGACCTGTCAGGAAAAAGAAATAAACAAATAAATATTTTAGACTTTTATGATCCAAATCAGTAAAAATTTCATAATTCATAAAAGATTTAAATATCAGATAATGTTTTATTTTAAGCTATTAAATGGTCACCTTTCATTTGTAAATTGTTGCCGGTCATTCATAAGCATTTAATAAAAGTTAAGTATTGATAATTAAGAATGCAAAAGATGCATGTAGCACTCCATGTGCTACCCCTGTAGAATCCTGGAGGCAGAGGTAAAGGTTGCAGCAGCCATTTTAACTTTATTTTCACTCCAAACAAACACTTTTCAGTTTTTTCTCCAAAACCAAGCTTTTTTTTAGCTCTTCAGTCTTTTGCTGCTTGTCTCTATCCTTTTGTCGCTCTTTACCTCTCCTTCCTCTTTTTAAAGGCCTCCACACTACCTACACAAGATTAGCCTCAACTGGCTCTCATTAAGGGCAGCGTGAGCTCCTGAGCTGAGAAGGCAAGAGAGCTTGTTGCACTACCTCCGAAATGAGGGCTTTAACTCAGGACATGTCAAAACCCCCTCAATAAAAGACTTCTACGATAATGCTCATTTCTGCTTGCATCCATATTGACCTCCAGTAGTATGTTAGTTCTAAGATAACACTGATTCACATATTCATATTCATATAAATATTTTTGGCCATTCTAGACCCATAAATGACCATCCTAGCCAATGAATGCAAACATTTCAAGTTTCTTAAAGACTTTCTAAGGGTTATTTAGAGCTTATAACTGGCATATTACTGTTGCGCCTGTGTAGAAGAAGGCACGGAAAACATTGTGCATTCAGGCAAATGCTTTTTATTGATCACACACTTCAACCGTGAGTGTTTACACAGTCTAGAAATACACAGCCCAGCACTCCCCAACACAGGGAGGGGATAACACATGAGGACACGAAATTCAAGAAGGGTAGACACAACTCTCCACAACAACCACAACGGGGAAATTTCACCTCTGCATTTAACCCCTCCGTGCAGTGAAACACCACATACACACTAGCAAACACACACACTAGGGGCAGTGAGCACACTGCATTGGTCAGGCTATTTTTAGAGCAAAATCGAAGGGGTGCTAGGTACCCCTGGTTTCTATCCGTGCATGAGTCTGCTGAAGACAGATATGGGTGACTTAGATACAAATGTGAACTACCAAGTCAGGAAGATTGGATCTGTTCAACAAATTGGAATGGAGCAAAAAGATATCATATAAAACAAGAATGCAATTTATTTAGAAACACCTGACATTACATAATCAGTTCAACTCTTCAATACAGCCCATAGTTTTATGCCTCTAAGGAGTCTTTTGAGTGGGGCTATTCCAGGATAGAACTTCAGCCGGACATTCCGTTCATGGATAAACAAAATACATTCTATAGGGTGGTGGTCAATTATTAGTGAAATTTCAGAATAGTTATATTCTGTCAGTAGCATGAAAACAAAAGCAAGTTGATGTGACCATACAGTGTCACATCAACACTACATGGTGGTGAACCACACCCTAATCTCAGGGTTAACGAGGAGCTTTGTGGGTGAGAAGTTTGTCTGCTGCAATCAGTCTTTTATTCTTACAATAAAATATTTCTCACATATTTCTTTGCCTTTATGAATCTTACATTTCTGCCTCCTGCCTTGTGTATCAGTAATGTTTGTATTCTCACACTTTATAAAATGTGTCCTTTAAACATGGCTTTACTTAAAACTCAGCCACATAATTTTGACATAACCATGTCATAAACAATTCATAACAGCTTATGTCACATGCAAAATCTTTAGGTAATTGTAGGCTACTGTGACATCAAGCATTACTAAATTTCCAAATCCTTGGAGTTTGCAGTACATTATGACACTGCCTCCTGAATAGCCAATCACAACAAAGCAGGCCACTCAAGCTGCCAATCAAACTGATGGTTCTCATTCATCTTTATGATCTCTTTCTGATAAATTCTTTCTATTCTATTATAAAATAAATAAAAATTTCTATTATGAAATCTGAACCTTATACATTCTACAAGGACCTGTAACCTAAATGCTAAAAAGTACTGTTACAGTAAAGTAAGGTAGAACATCTCACCTGAGATCAAGTAGATGGGTGAAGATGAAGGTCTTCATCCTGATCTGAAGGTCAGCCTCTGTGATGTGTACATAAACTTTAATTCAGTAAATACTCTTGTCTTTGTGGCACTGACTTTTATTTCCTGTTTCTGTGGTATGTCTTGTGTTGATGTGTTGAACTTCACAGCTCCTCCCATTAGCATCAGTGACCAAATGCGCCTTCACAAAGGAAGAGGTAAACGATGACATCAGTATGATAAACCACACTTACCCAATGCATTAAAGACCATCAGACAATAAAGATCACCAAGATATGCGAAAACCTCCATAAAACAATCTTCCTATTTCCAATACGCAACAGTAAATTATGTTTCCAAGACACACTGTGATCATTTTCTGCCTTAGATCTGTATTAGTTTTGCGATAGTAAAATCTGTTGAAGGTTACCTCTCAGAATATCCACTATATTGCTACACCCCACCCCCACCTCTCTAACACCTCCTTGCCTCTGACTCTCTCGCCTCTCATCTGAGTTTGTTGTTAGCCGCTCTGGCCTACAGACTGGGACTTTTTTTAACTAAGTGTAGTTTCCAGTGAACTAACTTCACCTCCCCTTGTGTGCCTGTATCTGTAGTATTCACACTCTATTTGGGCTCATACTTTCTAAAAATTAAAAAAGCTGGTAAATGGAAAGAAGAAGACTTCATTTGTCTCATTAGGTTGAAGTCATCTGATGTCTTAGGATCAGCTTTTAGTAAGGTATTAAATACTGTCACTGTGCTGTACTGTCTTCCTCTTAAGACCATGGGTGACAGTGTGCTTATTTTTGCAATTGTACAAGTTACAAATAAGATGGCAAAGACATTGTTTTAAACTTAGTTATTGCAAAAACAACCATGAAAGAGATGCATGCAAAGCAGAGAGAGTACCAAATCAGGAGGGACATGAGACTGAACTTTGTGGGGTGGTTTTTAATTATGATCTCACACATGTATGAGAGATCTGCTAAATGAGCATATGGCAATAGTAGTGGCACCTCTGCCTTCTACGCTGTAGACTGGGGCTAAATCCTGGCCTGGACAAGCACCCTAGACTTGACCAATAAGAGTCCCTAGGCAAGACTCCTAACACTACCTTCGCCTACCTGTGTATAAACATGATCAAATTGTAAGTCACTCTGCCAAATGCTGTAAATGTAATCACTAAAATAATGCTAATGTCCTAATAATAAGTATTTGCATTAGCGTTGTGCTAACTGTGCTGTATTTTGTCATTTATCGCAGCTTTCTACACTGATTGCAGATTTTTGAATTTTGTAAAAGACATTTAAGTAACATATTCTTTACTTTTGATGTTGGTTACACTTTGCAATTTGGGTGTTGATTCTTTCAGTAAGGATTTAAATTCAAAGCATGTCTCTGAATACTACTGAAGACTGTTAGCTTTGCTATCTTGCACTATATGGCCAAAAGTACCATGACCTGACCATCAAACCTACCTGAACTTATTGGACATCCCATTCTAAAACCATGGGCATTAATATGGAGTTGGCACCCTGTTGCGGCTATACCAGCCTCCGTTCTTGTGGGAAGCTTTCCACAAGATTTTGGAGTGTGTCCGAGGGAATTTGTGCCCATTCAGTCAAAAGAGCACCTTTCAGGATAAAGTTTCTCATCCAGTTAGTACATAATCTGCTGCCCAATCCATCCAACGTATTCTGCTGGGGCAAGAGTGAAATGCCACTTAGTTCATTGTGCCAAAGAAGAGGAACATTGGAACACATCCTGAGCTGTTGCCCTAAAGCAAAAAGGGAAGGTCGTTATTGGTGGTGACCTGGTGCTGAAGGTGATAGCAGGAACCTTTAGCAATGCCCTTGAACAGTCAAAAAATTACAACCACCCAGAAAGGCCATTTCATTTGGCCCAGCAGGAGAGAATCCAGAGTCTAAAGCTAGAGTAGCAAGGGGCATACTTACTATGGCAAAGGATTGGCAGCTGAAGGTGGATCGTGGAAGGCAGCTCCATTTCCCTGAGAACATTGCAGAGACCACCCTGCGCCCTGATAGTGTCCCCCTTCTCAGGAACAACAAAGTGAGTGCTACGGTTCAAGCTCACCCTACAATAGGAGGAGAAAATGGAGGAGGCACATGAGAGGAAGAAGACCAAATATGCAGATCTGGTGGAACAGTACAGCAGAGGAGGTAGTGTGCTACATGTGTGCTACAGAGATTGCAGAGGTTTAGTGGGCTACTCACTTTGGAAAGCATACAGCCTCCTGGGCATTACAGGGCAGTGCAAGAGAAGAGCCATCAGAGAAACAACTAAGGCAGCTGAGAAAGCCTCAAAGTGGCTCTGGATAACGAGGGGAGATTTGCTGGGATTTGATCAACCTGGTCGCATGGGAGAGGGTGTCCGATAGTTGAAAGACCCAAAACGCTAAAAGATTCAAGTATTTGATAACTTTTTTATTTTAAGATGTGTTTCTTAACAATTTATTAACTTCTAGCAATCAATTAAGAATGGGGTTCTATTTAGCACCTAAAAGGATTCTTCTATTGTTACAAGCTTGACACTGTAAAAATAAAAGAACACTTTTGGGTGCTATACAGAACCATTTTCAAAAAGGTACTATATAGAACCATCCACAGCACATTCTCCATCAGTCTGAAGAATACTTTCATGATGCTGTAACGGGTTTTGCAATTTTAGTATTATTATTGCTAGAACCCTATGTGAGGGTGTGAGGTAACCCGGATTTATTTGAAGTCTACAGACCAGGGCAAGAGAGAGAAACGCTCACACCAAGGATGCTTCAGAAAAGGAAATTTATTGGCTAAATATCAAACTACTTTTGGACTACATTCAATGATAAACAATAGAAAATAAAACCAGAAAACAAAACAAAATAAAGTGATAGTAATGAAAGACAAAATAGCTCGAGTAAGTTAGAGTGATTCACGGCTAAATGGTATGAGGTAGTGTGGTTTGGGAAGTCGCTTGGGAGAGCCTCTAGAGAATTAACCTAAGCCTGGACGGGAATAACTATATGGCTGGATGTACCTATAAAAGTTCTCTTATTAAATAAATTGGCGTCAGGTCCCTGACTGCAAATTGATGGTTCCAGCTTACGTGGGAGTCAGGGGCTGATTTCAGGAGGGGTCGTCTCAGGACAGACTCAATCGAAGGCTGGAGCTCACGCGGTGGTTCCTCTCCTAGCTGGCCGTGGATGCTGCATCTCCGTGCGGGCACGCGCCTTCCCGTCAGTGATTGGGCGGAGGCGTCTCGTGGCCGTCTGACGGTGGAGCTTGGGCGGCCTTTCGAGGGTCTATCTGTTCACAGATCAGTCCGTGGCTCTGGGTGCGATGCTGGGTCTCCGTGGCGTCCGAACCGCTCCCACTCCGCTGGCGAGGTTCAGGTTGCAATCAGGGTTCTGAGGCTGGTGATACTAATTTAACTAACTACCTCTCTTTAGCAGAATCGAAAGTTATGGATATATCCTCCCGGGCCAGACAAGTAATATCCACCTTCCTTCTCTGATGGTGGTTCAAACTTAAGGTGTGTAGATGAACAGGCAAGTTACAAACAAACAAAGGTTTCAGATCTGATAATTTAGCGTCCTAATACTTCTGACCTGTCTTTCTGACCTAGGCCGGCACAAACTTAGAAACTTGTTGCGAACGCAGGAACTCTGCACATTTGCGGTGCACTCTGGTTTTGTTCAGCTGGAGGCCCTTCCCTTCAGGGGTGGAAACCAGGTGTTGATAGGTTCTCTCACCTAACGGGTAATTAGCTATTCCTAATTCTTGGTCCTGATTGGTGGGGGTTTCTCTGTGCGCCCTACCAGGGAACTCCCTCCTTTTTTCCTTCTAGGTTTAAAAGTTTAATTCGATTAAACAAAACAGTTTTCAGATCAATTAGGTTACTAAAATCCATCACCTACAAACCTAACATTTAGGTATCTACGTGCAGTTTCTACCCACATTATCTGAGAACAACTATGGCAAAGGCAGAAACAATCTTATAGATTGTCTTTTCATTGCAGGAACTTTCAACACAGTAAAATCATTACTTCAAATGACTAAATCAAGTAAATGAGAAGAGTAAAAAAATAGAAGGCTAAATAAAACAGGTGAAAAGAAAACCTAGGTGCATACTTAGTGTTCTAAAATCACTACTTTAAATGGTTATTTCGGTTACTTTCAGACAGTTATCCCACACATTCCTAACGTCTGGTAAAAGAAAGGATGAATACACACTTTAAGTAACTGAGTATATAAATACAAGCATCAACACTTGTGAATTAGATAAGATTGATAGTCAGACATGCATATCAATAAGTTTTCCTGGAGTTCTCAGTTTTCATTCTCGTTTTCACCCCTTTGGGGTGCTGTGGGTCCATGCTTGAGATCCCTAGGGAATTTGGAATTTTGCCGTCCAAAGTCGTACAAATTCCGTTTTGGTATGTCTAGTTTAGTTAAAAAGAGTTCTAACGAACGGTTGCAGTATGCAGTGGACATACACCTTAGAAATGTACTTTCTGTTACTTAAGATAAAAAGTTGTCCACAGTACTTTGGAGAGGCATCTGTCACATTCTAGCGTAGGTGTCCTGCTGCCCTCCAGGTCAAAGGAGTGGGGGGGTCTGGTTCTTGATCCGGTTGTAAATTTTGGGTTGGTCTGGGTTGGGGTATCAAGCCTGACAGATTTACACCTCCAACCAGTCTTGCTGGAGCCAGAAGGCCCTTAACTTTGGGTAAACACTCAGCTAGAATTGAAATTCCGGCCATTGTTCGTTACAATGCAAAGAACCCTTTAATCATGCAAAGGGTTCTTTGAGTGTTCATGATTCTATTTGGATCCATTTTTGGCTAAAGAACCCCTGAAGCACCATCCTTTTTAAGAGTGTAGTCAACAATACTGCATTTTTTTTGCCAGTTCACATATATACGTTCCTTCTCATTGTATCTGCTCTCTGAGAAATTGTGAAATGTGACACCTGATGTACTTCCCTTTTAAAAAAAGCCATGTGATCCAACCCCCATTAAAACTCTGATCTAGCCCAAACATTATTAATGAAGCTTAAATCCAGAATGTGAGACATTCTGTTAACTGTGAGCTTTTCAAGAGTGGAATAACTGACCTGAGATCAGGTAGAAGAAGAAGATGACGAGGATCTTCATGTTGAACTTTAGCTTCACCAGTGTTTACACAAACAAAGAACTCAGATTTCTTTAACATTCAGAAATGTCTCTCCATTGTCCAGTCTTCTGTAGGCCTGATTTTGTTCTCCTCAGAGTGAAATTCTGCTTTTTCTAAATTTGTAAGTTTCTGTTCATGTATGTTAGTGTCTCTTCTTCTCTCTGGTTTGGTTGATTCCTGTTTCTCTGGCAAATGTCAGAGTTGCTCAAACTCACAGCTCCTCCCAGCAGAATCACTGACCAAAATACACATTAAGGAAGTTTGTGGGTGGAGGATTAATTTTTAAACCATGACCTCATAAAAACATGATCATAAGATGGATGTGTGGACAGAAGGCAGTATTATTTAAACATATATGGATAATTCTCAAAATCATTAGTGTAATAATAAAAAAAACACAGTTTGTTGTTTGTCTTACGTGCTAAATTCTCTTGCATCATGTTGTCTCTCCTGTTTTTTTCATCTGAACTGATTAATTGGTTCTTTATTGTAAACTCATGGTTTAAGATACACTATATGGTGGAAAGATGTGGACAGATGACCATCACACCTATAAGGGCTTGTTAGACGTTTTTTTCAGGGCCCAAACCCTGAAAAACAGCCCCAGCCCATTATTCCTCCTCCACCAAACTTTACTGCTGGAACAGTATATGCTAGATTTATTCTCTAGTGGAGAATAAATCTTAAAAAAAACTTGTTCAAAATAATAATAATAATGACAAAAATGATTAAAATAATTACAGTTTGCTATTTATCATTTCTTTTTTTAATCTTGTTCACAAAATTCTTGAAATGTTGAATAAAATAAAAATAAATATAAAAATACTTTTTGGCAAATAGTTTGTAATATTTGAATCCACATTGAAGAAGTTATTATATAAAATAAACATTTTTAATATGACAGGTGATTGCAAATGCTAGTGTACATGAACATGATAAAGCATGGTGTTAATTATCACTTTACTTTACACTTTTCAAAATAAAGAGAAACAGTAAACGGTGAAGACTAATAAAAAACTCACTAAAGAGGGAAGGCAGAACATGACGCAGAATCATTATGAAATCAGATTTCTACATTTTGTCTCAAGTGCGTTTGAAAGAAGTGTCAAGGGAACAGTAATTAGTGGAAAGAATAGTAATAATAATTTTTTTAAAAATCACTGAAAAAAGAATACAATGCAAAAACTTTCTGAAGTCAGATATCACTGATGGTTTTGGGTCAACATCAGAAAGATTGAAGGCTTAACAAACTAGTCATGGACATTTGACATCAGCTAAATTTGACCATTTGATTCTAGAGGCAGACATTTAATAGAGTAGTAGCGAATTTAACTTATCGGGACTGGGAATAAGCCTCTAATTGACTGAATCTGACTTGTTTTATGGTGCAGGTTTACATTTACTGAACTTTGGTGTTCAGTCTGTAGTAAACACAGTTTGATTGCTTGGCATTGATGCTTAGACTCTGGTAAACTGAATCTGATTGCTGTTGGGTTTAGACTCTGGTAGGCTGAATCTGATTGCTGTTGGGGTGTAAGCTCTGGTAAGCTGTATCTGATTGGTTGGTGTTGAGGTTTAGACTCTGCAAGGCTGAATCTGATTGGTTGGTGTTGAGGTTTAGACTCTAGCAGGCTGAATCAGATTGGTTACTGTTGGGTTTAGATTCTGGTGGACTGAATCTGATTGGATGCTGTTAGGGTTTAGGCTGTGGTAGACTGAATTGGATTGGGTGGCGTTTGGCCTTAGACTCTGGTAGGCTGAATCTGATTGGTTGGTGTTGGGGTTTAGGTTCTGGTAGGCTGAATCTGATTGGTTGGTGTTGGGGTTTAGACACTCGTAGGCAGAATCTGATTGGTTGGTGCTGGGGTTTAGACTCTGGTAGGCAGAATCTGATTGGTTGGTGTTGGGGTTTTGGTACTGATAGGTTGAACCCATGCCGTTGATGTTCTGGATTCCAGGTCGATCATTTTCATAATCACCTTCAGCCTAAAATTAAAGCAATAAAGATAGAACCAATCACAGGTAGACATGCTGTACTTAAATATCACATTTGAAATTATGATGCAGAAGAACTCATCCTACTGAAATACAGTTTTTTTTTAATCTATTACTTACACACTGAACTAAATCATGTCATAAAATATGAAGAAACTTAAGGCCATTTTCACATCATTCTTTTCACTTACTGTATTGTTTCTACCCATTAGCATGTTTGGAGAGCCTATAGAAAGGATAAAGAGAAATGAGTCAATCTCCAGTTAATGAACATTTTTTGGGCTCTGTCACCTGAAGTAAACTTTTATCATTAGATTTCAGAAGTGTGGGACATCTTTTATTCTATTATCAAAGCCTGTGAGATACATCTTTTTGTTGTCTAATATGTGACAGAAAAAAAACTACACAATTATGATTACTATGACGTAAAAGCAGCAGTCAATAATACAGACTAGTTTCTTGTATAAGACAAACAACTAGTAGGTATATAGATTTACTGTAAGTTCTCTGCTGGTAAACTCAGAGCTCACTAAATGGCTGTGACATTATCAGCAATTTGCGATTAGGACTTTTATGTTTTTGCCATTTTATATTACAAACTCACCTATACATCCAACTACAGTGGCTCACCAATTGTAATAATTGCACCTGTTTGTGTGTACATGAATAATACCTCCTGCCTTGTTGAATCTTAGTCTGTAGATCAGTAATAATCCTCCAATCAGCAGCAAAGCTGCACAGACACACACAATGATGATGACAGAGGATGATGTAGAAATTCCTAAGCATCAAAACAGATTACATACAAGTGTATTAGAACTTAAAGACAGAGTGGATTTAGATGGTTATACTCACATTTGTTGATTTCAAGCCACTTTTCATATTTTAGCACCTAAGTACATTGAGTTTACTTAGCACACCTAGTTGTACCTATGCACATTGGTATAACACAAACTGTGCATGGAAAAATATTTACTGTAATCTCTAAAATTACATCTACAGAGTGTACCAATACGTTATGTCTATTAAAGTGGCCAGTACATGTATTATCAAAGATGTTTTTTTTTCTTTTTTTTTGCTATTTTCCACAATTTAGTATAATACTGAAAACATCAACACTAAGAAATAACACTTTTAAAATTACACAAAATGGTTAGCTTTCTGCCACGTAGTGATATTTAGATGGAAAATTCTGTTCTAATATATACTGAATATATCATAATATACAAGTTACATCAAGGCATGACAATAAATACCACTTGACCTTGATATCAGCTGTAACAAAAGGGGCTGACAAGGCAGACAAGGACACAAGTAGGCTGAACAGGACAAAGGGCTGAATACAGGGTTCAATGACTTGACGAACACAGACATCAGGACTGGGACAGATAAGGTTACTGGGACACGAACAAAGACATTACCTGGTATAGGAACAGAGACAGAGATTGAGACAGGAATGGAGAGACAGTGACTGGACAGTGATTGGGACAACACTGGAGTCAAGTGATGAGCCAGACATGGGAAAAAAAGGAGTGATGGCAAGACTGCACAGAAAACTGAAATATGGCTCATTATAGGCCTGAAAGGCAAGCCCAGCAGGGTACTGAATGGGTGGCCAGGGAGGTAACTCTAAAGGTGGTAAGGCAGTGAACTGGAAAGGCAGCTGGGCATGGAACTTAAAAGGCAGCTGGGCAGGGAACTGGAAAGTCTGGGCGGTTAGCTGAGCAGAATACTGGAAAGACTAGGCAGCTGGCACTGAAACAGAATGAGCAGCACTGGAAGAGGGCATGGAACAGTAGCTTGAGGGACCGGCACAGGAGGAACAGCAGCTCAGCAGACCGGCACTGGAGGAACAGCAGCTTGGCAGGTCGTGCTGGAGGAACAGCAGCAGGGAAACTACTTGACTGCACTGTTTTTTGTGTCTTTTCCTTCACTGCATTGGAGCTTCACCCTTAACCCGTGTAAAGTTGAATATTTGATAGTGTTGAACACACCAACTCAAATTTCTTAGAACGAGATTAATTTAACTACCTGCACACTAATTTTCTGCCGTCTACATACAACTGTTCACCAGGAATCTCATAATGAAAACAATCTTTCCTGTTTACACTCTTCAAGGTCACTTCAGATTTCATCATAGAAAATTGGCATAGGATCAAAGCAACTGTATGAAACCGTTGAATATATTCATAGTGAATATATGAAATATCAGTGAAGTTCTTTATTTCTATTCATTTCATTTCCATTGTAACTGGAATGTAATATTTTCAAGGTCTTAGTGACCCCGCAACGTGTAGCTGTGTAGTCCTGAATACTTTTATATATCTGCTTTGTACTTTTTTTGTTCCTGGTGGATCAGGAAATGTAGAGCATGACTGATATTTCATCCCCATATTTAGACTGTGATTAATCCAAGTTTAGGTATTCAGGCTGTGATCAATCCAAGTTTAGATACTCAGACTGTGATTAATCTAGATTTAAATACTCAGACTGTGATTAATCTAGGTTTAGATACTCAGATTGTGATTAGTCCAGATTTTGATACTCAGACCATGATTAATTCAGATATAGATACTCAGACTGTGTTTAACCTAAGTTTAGATACTCAGACTGTGATTAATCTAGATTTAAATACTCAGACTGTGATTAATCTAGGTTTAGATACTCAGATTGTGATTAGTCCAGATTTTGATACTCAGACTGTGATTAGTTCAGATATAGATACTCAGACTGTGTTTACCCTATGTTTAGATACTTAGACTGTGATTAATCTAGATTTAGATACTCAGACTGTGATTAAAGAAGGTTTAGATACTCAGACTGTGATTAATCCAGATTTAGATACTCAGACTGTAATTAATCTAGGTGTAGATACTCAGACTGTGATTAGTCCAGATATAGATACTCAGACTGTGTTTAACCTAGGTTTAGATACTCAGACTGTGTTTAATCTAGATTTAGAAACTCAGAATGTGATTATTCTAGGTTTAGATACTCAGACTGTGAATAATCCAGGTTTAGATACTCAGACTGTGATTAATCTAGATTTAAATACTCAGACTTTGATTAATCTAGATTTAGATATTCTGTGATTAATCTAGGTTTAGATACTCAGATTGTGTTTAATCTAGGTTTAGATACTCGGACTGCGAATAATCCAGGTGTAGATATTCAGACTGTGATCAATTCAGGTTTAGATACTCAGGCTGTGGCCAATTGTGCGAAACATGAGGAGAAGTCAACAAAAAATTTAAAAAAATAGATCATACTACCCAAATATGTAAAAAGTAAAGTATTTATACTTGCAAAAAAGCAATTAATCTCAGTTTAAATTTAGCTGGAAACATTTTAAATAAATTTGTTTTTCCAACCATGACTGTGTTTTTATTTTAGACTCACAGCTCAGTCTGTACTGCTGTGATGTAGTTTAACAGTGGGGACTCACATGCAATTTCCCTTTGGCAGGAGAATGAATATTTATACTAAATTGGTTCAAATTCACAGACTGGGTTGCCTTGTTTTCTGTCAACAAGATCAGTTGGGCGGCACGCTGATGGTTTGCATGATACTTTCATGGTACCAAGCACAGATAACCACAAACTGTAACAAGTGCAAGAGTTCATGATGATCAAAATCTCACCTGTAACTTCAAGTTGTATTTCATTTAAATTGTATGTGTTCTGATCTCCTTTCTTTTGTCCATGAACTCCACACAGGTAAACTCCTCCATCCTCCTCAGTCACATCACTGATGCTCACATTGAAGAGGTTTTCTTGTGGATGGTCAAAAAGAGAAAACCTCTCTTTCTGTCTGGATTGTCCAAGAGCTGATATGACCACATGGATTTTGTGATTGGTCACTTTGCACAAGTGCTTGGAGAGATATTTTGACTCCTGTGGATACTGACAGGTAAAGGTAACAGTCTCTCCTGCATGAGTTTTCTGTGTGAGTGTCTTTCCACAACAAGGATCTGCCAGTAAAATCAAATGATCCAGTTAGTATTGACTTTGTACTCAGGTGTGTTTCTTAGCTCAGATCTCATTATATTTGTATTGTAATGTATTATTTGCTTTTCTTTAAAAAGGTCTGTCTGAGCTTGTTAGGAAACTGAGTGACAGAATGATTAGTGGACAAAACTGGCTGTAAGGACTGAACACTTTGGGTGAAGGTACAGATAGATGAGGTCAGTTAGTTGGAGCAGGACAAGAGATGCAGCTATGAGGAACATGCTGTGATACCACTCGGTTTTCTATAATTGGGGGTTCCTTCAATGCCTGACTGATTAATTAACCCACTCTGGGCCAGACCCTGATTTTTAACATTTGGAAATAACTCATTTGGAAATAATTGCTTCTAGCATGTGTTTATGAAGAAAATACATAAAGACAAATAACTTCTTATTCAGCCATTCTTATTTAACTTGCAAATTAGGCAAGTGCCATGCCTCCTGTTGAGGACGCCTCCTCTGCTTGTTCCCTTTCTCCTGCTGGCTCACTTGAGTCAACAGACTGTCTGGAAAACTCCAGTTCCCATGAAGCAGTGGGAGATCACATGACTCCTCCATCATCACCGTCAACCAATAGATTTTCATTCTAACACTCCACCATACCGGAGTTCTGAGTTTACGCACCTGATTCATATTACATTTAGTAAGTTAGTTGGTATATAAGCCCAGGCTTTAGTTTAGAACATTGTGAAGTATTGCCAACTTTTCCTGTTGTGTCCTGTTAGCTGTCTGTAAAGCTTATCTGTGTATTACCTATTTTTTGTGTTTTTGACTGGTCTTTTCATGTTGCCCTTTTGGTTGGATTGCTGTGCTCTACTGATCTTGTGTTTTCAAACTTGGACTGGTTACTGAATTCTTTCCGGATGTCCCTTTTGTTTTGGTTATTGTGCTCTCTGGTTTTGACCCTAGCCTGTTATGACTACACTCTTTGTGATGATTCAGAATCCTCAAGTAAAATACAGCCTTGTTTTTTAAATGTGCGAGCGTCTAATCTGTTGTGACATCCTAACAACAACTTCACACAAAATTGCTTATATGCTTATAATAAATACTTATTGCATACCTTGTAAACATATAGTAATAATGATTTTACAACAATTAACATTTGTTAATGCTAAACACTAGCTTGAAAAATATTCCAAAAGAAATTATATTTCAGAAAATATTTAAATTTAAAGCCTTTTTTTATTTTATTTTAATGAAATTATTTATGTATTTTTAAAAACAAGCAGGGCACAATTGGACAGATACAAAATGGCTAAAAGTCAACTACTGGCTGATAAAGGCTTAATAAGAACTGTACAGGAAATTACAAAGCCTGGCTATATATATATAAGTGTTACAAAAAACTCCATTAAGAACTGGAAGTCGTTGATAAGGCCTGGTTGAAGTCAGTACACTGTTTGGAGGGATTTACAGTAAAGACCTCATTTTAAGACTGTGTACAACCACTGGACTTAAAACACTGGAAACCTCCCATGAGTGGCTTAACAGCTGTTTCACCAATATTTTAGTGTCTGCTTTCTGTTTAGCAGGCTGAATTTCTGTTCCACCCCTTAAAAGAACTTTGTGTGGCCTTTGTTTAGTATTATTATGACCATTTAATAATTTAAAACATTTTACTACAAGTTCTTATAAGTGTTTTCAGTTAAATTGTATTACTAATAAGATGAAATCTCACCTTCTTTCACTTTCATTGTCACATCTCTTTTCTCTTCCACCCCACACCTGTATGTTCCATCGTCCTGCTGACTTATGTTTTTAATGAGCACGCTGTACAGCCCAGGCCCATTTCCATCCATTAAGAAGAATCTTCCTTCTTGATCTCTTGTGTTCTGTGTCTTTGGAAGAATCTTTTCAGTGCATTGTGTTCCTCTGTTTATCTTGCAAAGATACTTTGTGTGATTGGTGTATCTCAAGGGATCGAACTGGCAGTTGATGAGGACGCTTCCTCCTGCGTAACCAATCACATCAACACAGTCCACTTGACCTGCCAGAAAAAAAAAAAAATAATAAAAAAAAAGTCTCATTATCTTAATCACAAATATCTCATGATCAGGGACTACTTTAGTGATGCATTTTTTAGTAAGTTACACTCCAGACACAACAACTTCTGTATTTCTATAATCAAATCGAATGATGGTCTCAATATTACACTTTAAATTCTGGTTATTTATAATAAAGTTAATATTTGTTTTGTTCATATACAAAATAATTTATCATAAATCTGTATTAATAAAATTCATACTCCACCACCCGTAGTCTGGTCAGTTTAGAATAAGAATTAAGAACCATTAACCAATTGTTGCAAACAGAGGAATTTGACCTCTGCATTTAACCCATCTGTGCAGTGAAACACCCTCCCACACACACACACTAGTGAACACACACACTAGGGGGCAGTGAGAACACTTGCCCAGAGCAGTAGGCAGCCCTATCCACACTGCCCAGGGAGCAGTTGGGGGTTAGGTGTCTTGCTCAAGGGCACTTAGGGTCCCGTCCTGTGAGCTCAGGGGATCAAAGCGGTGACCTTCCGGTCACATGGCTGGTTCCCTAACCTCCAACCTAAATCTTAAAAAAATGTCCAGAGTTTATGGGCAACCTGTATTAGATGACATTTCCCTATCCTAGCCTTATATCCCATATTCCCCCAACACTGCAAAAAAAGCACAGCAATTTTAAATGGGTACATCGTATAGGTTAACTAAAGTAGTCAGCTGAGAGGCACTTTTAAGTTGAATAAAAAAACATCATCATTTGTTGGACAAAATATTAAAAGAGCACAGTACCTGTTTTGCTAGGATTAGCTAGGAGTCAGCTAACTCTTTGTATGCTTCCTCAGGGTAGATGTTGAGTTGTGGAAAGTGGAGACTTGAATAGATTTTGGGAGGTATGTTTGGCAGCTGATAGTAATGCCATTTTCTTTAGTTAGTTTGGAAAAAAAAATGAATAAAGATGACTGGATGAAGTGTGTTCCTCGTGTGTGCTGCTAATGTTCTCTTCTATCCTTCTCCACTAAACTTGACGTCTGTAAACACATCAGGGCTAAATTGTTTCTGAGACCCACTCCATTCTGATAGGCTGAACTGAATCTACTAAATATAACTGAAAATTAACTTTCTTCTAATTGGTAACATTTTCCTCAGTAACCGATATTAAAAATTAAAGTAGTCAAGTAAAAGTACTTTATTAGAAATGAACAGAAGTAAAAGTACTATGATCAAATATGGTCAAACTCTTTTTCATTGATGTTAATCTCTCCTTGGCCTAATTGAACCACATTTTGTCCTCACTGGAGTCAGTGGGGCATTTAGCTAAGCTAACAGGTTCCAGTAGTATTTAGAGGCAGGCTTTAAGTTTAAAGCTTGACTAAATGAGTCAACATCCAAGCCTTAACATCTAAAGAACACATTATATTACCTCAATGTCTATTATGAGCTTCAGCTGTCTGAGTTTAATCTAGAGAGCTGCTATAAAATGTCAAAACTCACCCCGTTAGCTTCATGCTAACATCCCTATTGCTAGGCTAGTGGAAAGCAGCATTACTTTATGGTGATGGTCATTGCTGTATAATGATATGCTCGGCTGGCACATGCTTATCATTTTTATGATTATATGTTTTCATGGGTGTAAACAAGTTTAAAAAGCTGAACACGTATGGTCTCACTATACAGTGCTTCACTGTGGAGCTGTCAACAAAGCCAGCCCCTCTATCCTGATTCCTATGACTGTCAGTGAGAGCAGTGGTCATTAATATACAAAATCAATACCCAAGAAATGAGCTGTTCTTCTCAGAGAAGTAAAAGACAGGGCAGAGCACATCAGGCAAAATCATTAAGGAGTTTTGTTTTATACTCTTCACAGTTGTTGTACAAAGAGAATGGGGAACTATATTAAAATTGGGGTAAAATACTAAAGCATGTCTCCTTTAAAATCACCATAAAGAGGATATGAATAAATTTAAGTTTACAAATGATTATTCTTCTTAAAAACATTCCTAAATGAACTAAAACTTCAATCTAACCCATATGTTATTAATGAAGCAAACATCCAGAATGTGTGGAATCCTGTTAGCACCAGCAGAGAGGTTTCAGCAGTAGAATAACTGACCTGAGATCAGATAGAGGGTGAAGATGAGGAAGATCTCCATCCTGAACTGAACTTCACCTTCACTGGCGTTTACACAAACAAAGCACCCTGACTTCCTTAGGATTGAGAAACACCTAGTCATTGTCCAGTCTTCCACAGGCCTGCATCTGTTCTCCTCAGAGTGAAATTCTACTTTTTCTAAACCTGGTTCCTCTTTCTCTGGTGTCACAGTTGCTCAATCTTCCGGCTCCTCCCAGCAGCAGCACTGACCAAAATACATCTTAAGGAAGTTATTGGGTTTTGAAACGTGACCTTACAACAACATGGATGTGAGAAAGTGTGGACAATATGTTTTAAACATACTGTGGCATTCTGCCACTGGTTGTGCATTGGGTGTTTTGGGCCTATGCAAAAAAGGCTGATGGGAAATGCGTGTATAGCCTCTAAAGACAGGGCTATTGGGTTTTAATGTGGTTGTTCCTTAGTAGACTACGTATTGTGTGTTATTAGGGTTATTTCATATCTGGGTTTGTGGGTTGGTGGGTTTTTTGCCCCCTGGGAGGGAGGTCACCTGTGGCATGAAGCCTTTGATTGATGGTAACCTCTCCCCCACCACCAGTTTCATGCATGTATGTTCCATTTTTCACTCGTTCTCAAAAAAGAGCAGAAGGATGAGAAGAGAAAATATCTTCATGTGACTCCTGGGAGGGATGGATGCTCCCACTGATGGTAGAGGGCGCCTTGCTCGGCATTCTTCAAACCCAGTGAATGTGACAAGACAAAGTCGAACCGGGTAAAGAACAGAGCCCACCTGACCTGATGGGGATTTAGCCAGTTGGCTTGCTGGAAGCTAAATTCTTATGGTTTGTCCAGACCAGGAACTGATGCATAGGAGAAAAAGAGATGTGGGACAAGACCAATCCCTAACTGCCTTGGTCTTGGTTGGGTCCATACACAGTTGGCACTGAGACACCACAAACCCCAAGAAAGTCACTGATTGTGCATGGAATAGAGATTTTTCCAACTTAAAGATAGTTTTTCCATTTTGTAAGAGTGTAGATCAGACATTCAAATCAATTATTTCCAAACTTCTTTATGTTTGCATTTGGTCAGTTAAGCCAGTTAAGGCAGACAGTACTCAACCGGAAGAAAGCATGATCATCCCAATTTTGCCAAGAAAAAATATCCCTTAACTACTTTGAAATTGGAACTTCACAGGACATTCATAACGTAAGGTGTCGTCATTTCAGGAAATATGTACGTTGTATAGATGTGTAATTCATTCTTTTCCCTGAAATGTATGTGAAACATACAAAACATGCCATAATTGATCTCAAATAATGGTAAAATCATGGCATAGATAGTGGAATGATTTACAAAGAGGGGGGGCACACCAGCTGCAAAATTTGAGCATGATATGAATTTTACATTCAGTATCACAAGACAAGCCTGATGGAAGTTGGGAGACCGGAGGATCAACCCAAACTCCTTCATGCAGACAAAGAACTAATCTGCATTGTGGAACAGATGTGACAGGGAGTGGATTGCTTCTGGAGGACAGACCACTGACTGACGCTGCAGGTTGGGCTTGCCACTGAACCCAAGAACACGCTTTTGAGCAGATGTACTGACGAACACTGCAGGGGAAGTGAGAGATCTGGTCAGGAATATGGGATGGGAATTGAGGGATGCAAAGACTAAAATGGTCCACCTAACCTGATAGGTCCATCACAGCAGCTAGAAAGCTCCAGAACTATGAAGAGTACATCTAGACAACTACTGCATGCTAACTTCTTGGTTTCCTGCCTGGCTGTTGCTCAGTACATCTCAGCTGAAGATCAAACACGTTAACATTAACAGGGTGTATGAAAAAAATGCCTGTGCTTGCTGATTGTTACAGTATGTCACAGCATTTGAGACCACAGGAACAAGCTGAGTGTGTGACAATTTGGAATGTGTTAAAATGAAGCACATGTACATATGTCTTTTTTTTTATTGGGCTTTAAAGATTTGAAGTACAAAAAAAGGAGTCCGCTAAATAAAGACTGTGACAATAAAAAGACAATAAAAAAGGATCCACTAAATAAAGACTGTGTTACACATTAGCTGAAAAGAATAAAATGAACAAAATCTGAAAAAAACAGAAGTGCTACGAAGTAATATATCTAAATAAAGTAAAGCACAAAATATGGTCCATGAACCTAAAACAAAAGCATTTAACATGCACTGTAAAGAAAGTCTGTAATTTCTACAATAATGAACTGTGTTCAAGCCAGTATGACACTTTAAATGTGGTTTACAGATTTATGCAGCATTCTCTGTTGAATTCTGGGAAAATATTTACAGTACAGGAAAGTTATACTACTTCATAATTTATGGCTACTGTAACATGACTCTAATAATACATCAAAATTTCATGTAAAAAAATACTTTTCTGAAGCAGCAAAGGACAAACTAGCTAAAACTAGTACCCTGTTTCTGCAAAAGTTGGGACGCTGTGCAAAATGTAAAAATAAAAACAGAATGCAATGATGTGCAAATTATTTAAACCCTATATTTAATTGAAAGTACTACAAACACAACAAATCAAATGTTGAAACTGAGAAAATCTATTGTTTACATATATATATATATATATATATATATATATATATATATATATATATATATATATAAACCCCATTTCCAAAATAGATGCTGTGAAAAATGTAAGTAAAAATAGAGTGCAATAATATGCAAATGCCAAACAACACGTTCCAAAAAAGTTGGGACGGGGGCATTTTTACCACTGTGTTTAATCAGCTCTTCTTTTAAAAACACTCAGTGTTTTCCTGTTCTTGTTTGATACTGGATTTCAGCTGCTTAACAGTTCGGGGTCTCCTTTTTTGTATTTTCCATTTCATAATGCACCAAATGTTGTCAGTGGTGACAGGTCTGGACTGCAGGCAGGTCAGTTTAGCACCCAGACTCTTTTAATACAGAGCCATGCTGCTGTAATACATGCAGAATGTGGTTTAACATCGTCTTGCTGAAATAATCAAGGCCTTCCCTGAAAAAGATGTCGTCTGGATGGCAGCATTTGTTGCCAAAACATGTATATATTGTTCAGCATTAATGGTTCCTTCACAGATGTGCACATCATGCATGCCATGTGCACTAATGCTCCCCTACACCATCATGAATACTGGCTTTTGGACTCTGCACTGATAACAAGCTGAGTGGTCTTTAGCCCGGAGGACACAGTGTCCATGATTTCTAAAAAAGAATTTAAAATGTTGATTTGTCGAACCACAGGACACTTTTCCACTTCCCCTCAGTCCATTTTAAATAAGTCCAGGCCCAGAGAAGGTGTCAGCATTTCTGTATCCTGTTTATATATGGTTTCTACTTTGGGTTTGTTGTTGTTTTTAATGCAGAGCTGTCTGAGGGCTCAAAGAGCACGGCCAGCAAATACTGGTTTTTGGCCTTGTCCTTTATATACAGAAATTTCTCCAGATTCTCTGAATCTTTTAATGTTATTATGTACCGTAGATGATGAAAAGAAAAAAAGTTCTTTGCTATTTTATGTTGAGAAACATTATTCTTGAATTGTTGCACTATTTGCTCATGCAATCTTTCACATCATCTTTACTTCTGAAAGACTCTTTTTTATATCCAATCATATTACTGACCTGTTGCCAATCAACCACTAGTTGTTTTCTTTAGCATTACACAACTTTACCAGCATTTTGTTGCCCCCATACCAACTTTTTTGGAACATGTTGCTGGCACCAAATTCAAAATGGGCATATATTTTTCAAGAAACAATAATTACATTTTGCATACATTTGCATTACATACATTTTGCACAGCATCAAAATGCCCATTTTGAATTTGATGTACATTTGAAGTAAGGATAGCAAGGGGTTAAAGACTGTGTGGCAAATAAAATAGCATTTCCTCATCTACAGTACATAATATCTTTGAAAGATTTCGGGAATCCAGAGAAATCTGTATGCAAGAGACAAGGCCAAAAAACAAATACTGGCTGGCTGTGATCTTTAGACCCTCAGGTGGCACTGTGTTAAAAACAGACATGATTTTGTGGTGGAAAACCCTGCATGGACTCAAGAACACTTCCGCTTTGCACATCACAGCATTCTGTTTTTAATTACCAACTTTTTTTGGAAACAGGGTTGTAAATACTTCAACTGAAAGCCTAACTGTGAGCATTATTAGAGGAGCCTGTTAGCTTTTGAAAGAATAGCTGTTTGTATTAAAGATAGGGTGTATGAAATTAATGCAACTGAGAATTTCAATGAAAAATGGTACAATTATTTTCCTTAATAAAAGGTACTGAAAACCAGTGACTAGTTTTGTACCATGAAATGTACAGTTTACTAAATTTTTATTGGTAACACTTTACATTATTGGCACAAATTCATTTTTACTTATGTTTCTAATGAGACAAATATAGAAGGCAGTTCCTCCCCCAAAATGCTTTTCCCATAAATTGCTGAATACAATAGCACAACCTCCCATGTGCACTCTCAGAAAAGATTTAACACTTTATTAAGTGTAGTAAATTAATTATTAAATATATTGTTTAAAGTCAATGATTTTGCATTATTTTATTATGACATATTATTTACTGGTTCATTACACATTAGTTATTACTTAATAACTGACTAATTACTTAGCACTTAGTAATTGACAGTTTAGTCTGTCATTAATTCAGCTATTTTATCATTAACAGTGTACTAAATGTTACTTATTACACTGCCAGTGAACTCAAGTGTTTACTTATGTAACATATAGGTATAACTCAAGAACTTACTTGTACTTACGTGTTAATTATCTGTTAATACATCGAATCATTGGACACTTTCTCTGTTGTACAGCCTTGTCTGGTACACAGTCCTTGTGTTTTATTGACTACATTCTTTCATCTCCACATATTTGAGCTGGTAGGTCGCTGAGGACAAGCAGACCTTTGAAGGGGGCCTTTGTAGCATCCTGCCTGCAGGCAGCCACATGCAAAGCTTCATGGTAGATACGTGTCCTCTAACAAAGGGACATTTTTATGTTGTGTGATGTTGGTTGCTGTTCGTTAAAGTTATGTGTAAGTGTTATTGTGTTATTCTGTATTGGGGAGTGGGTTAATGTGTGGGCTTTGTGTGTGAGGGTTGGTCACT